GCCGACAGGTCGCTGTTGTCGAACCTCTCCTGGTCGTAGACCTCGGCCACCACCTTCCTGCCGGCGAACCAGCGGCCGTTGAGCGCCTGGATGGCTTTGTGAGTCTCTGCGGCCATGGAGAACTCCACGAAGATCTTGACGATGATGTCGGCGTCCTCCTCCTCGCCCTGCTTCTCCTGGTAGATGATCACTCTGTTCACTGCCCCGAATTTGCCGCATTCCTCCGTCACCTCCCCCTCCAGATCGTCGTCGATGTCCTTGGGATCCACCATGTTCCGCAGCACCATCACCGTGGACTGGGGAGAGAGGGGGAATGGAAAATGGGAACAGGGAGAGGGCACAGGGGCACCCCAAAAACAGCACACTCCAAAAAAAAGCACAGCCAAATAACAGAACACCCCAAAAACAGCACAGCCCAAAAACAGAACACCCCAAAAAACAGCACAGCCCAAAAAACAGCACAGCCTAAAAACACACCCCAAAAACAGCACAGCCCCAAAAACAGCACACCCTAAAAACATACCCCAAAAAACAGCACAGCCCAAAACCAGAACACCCTAAAAACAGCACACCCTAAAAACAGCACACCCTAGAAACACACCCCAAAAAACAGCACAGCCTAAAAACACACCCCAAAAAACAGCACAGCCCAAAACCAGAACACCCAAAAAACAGCACAGCCTAAAAACACACCCCAAAACAGCACAGCCCAAAAACAGAACACCCCAAAAACAGAACACCCCAAAACAGAACACCCTAAAAACAGCACACCCCAATAACAGCACAGCCTAAAAGCAGCACAGCCCGAAAACAGCACAGCCCAAAAACAGCTCACCCCAAAAACAGCACACCCCAAAAACAGAACACCCTAAAAACAGCACAGCCCAAAAACAGCACAGCCCAAAAACAGCACACCCATGGCACTGATGGGCCAGGGACAATCAGTGTTGGACGAGAGAGGCTGATCAGGAATTCCCTGGATCAGGAATTCCCTGGGTTGGGAATGCTGTGGCCCCTAATCAGGAATTCCCTGGATCAGGAATTCCCTGGGCTGGGAATGCCGTGTGCCCTGATCAGGAATTCCCTGCGTTGGGAATGCCGTGTGCCCTGATCAGGAATTCCCTGGGTTGGGAATGCCCCTGATCAGGAAATCCCTGGGTTGGGAATGCCCCTGATCAGGAATTCCCTGGGTTGGGAATGCCGTGTGCCCTGATCAGGAATTCCCTGCGTTGGGAATGCCCTGGATCAGGAATTCC